ACCTAACCTAACCTAATCTAACCTAAACTAACACTAACACTAATCTAACATTAACCTATCACTTACTAAATTCATCTCTGTCTGTCTGTCTGTCTGTCTGTCTCTCTGTCTGTCTGTCTGTCTGTCTGTCTGTCTGTCTCTCTGTCTGTCTGTCTGTCTGTCTCTGTCTGTCTGTCTGTCACGTACAATTTAATGGACAAAAAATCCCCAAGGACTTAAGTTACTTAGTTTGAAATAAATCCATTAACACGTCATCCACCACTCCACACACCCTCCACCACTTCACAAACACTCCACCTCTCCTTCACTCCACACACCCTCCACTCCACATACTCTCCTCCACTCCACACACCCTCCACTCCACATACTCTCCTCCACTCCACACACCCTCCACTCCACACACCCTCCACCACTCCACCCTACCTCCCACACACCTCCACCCACACACCCTCCACCCACACCCCTCCACTCCACACACCCTTCACCACTCACCTCTCCACACACCTCTCCACCACACACTTCCACCTCTCCACACACACCTCCACTCCACACACCCTCCACTCACACACCCTCCACTCCACACACCCTCCACTCCACACACCCTCCACTCCACACACCCTCCACTCCACACACCCTTCACCACTCCACACACCCTCCACCACTCCACTACTATACTCGCCCTCCTGGAGTTTCAGGTGTGGAGGAAGGGAGTGTTGGTAATGAAAGTGATATCAGAAATTAATGCAGAAATATGTAACTCTTCCTTCATATGACTTCAATTAGTAGGTGTCAGATGTTATCAGTTTTTTCTCATAATGTTTCGTTTGAGGAATAAATTAGGAGGTGAGATTAACGTTGCTTCCTCACCTGTGCCGCCTCAAAGGTAAGTTGTGTGTAGTGAAGATAGATAAGCGGGAGTCATCAGTGGTCTTTTAATGAAAACTTAGAAGGTTCATAATAAAGGGATGACTTAGTGGTTATTGAAGGTTAGTATACAGTATATGTTATTTACACTATATGGAGTGTAATTATAGTTATGGTACACCTGCCTTAGAGGAATTTAATTAGTTAATGGAAGGATACAGGTGGATAGGAACCCTTTGATGTAGTTCAGAATAATGTAACCAAAGAAAAAAAAGGAATTAGGAAATAAATTGTTAAAAAAAAATACATAACAAAAACTTACCTTATAATAATCCCAAACTTTCATTGAAGACTAAAGAGAAAAATAAATAAAAAAATATAAACACTAATTTTTGTTATCAGTAATGATTATGACCAAAATTGTTCCAAAAATGTCAACATGGAGAGAGAGATGTGTGTGTGTGTGTGTGTGTGTGTGTGTGTGTGTGTGTGTGTGTGTGTGTGTGTGTGTGTGTGTGAGTGTGAGAAAGAGAGAGAGAAAGTGTGTGAGAAAAAGTGAGATAGATAGATATATACAAACATACATACATGAATACACTACATACATACAGAGAGAGAGAGAGAGGGAGAGAGAGAGGCCTTCATAGGTATTCTCCTCCCTCAGGTAAGCCATATATCCTAGATGAGGGAGCCGATAATTAATGGGGAGCTGAGAGGCAGAAGAACAGGGTCTACATGAGGTATTATGAGGGTGTGTGGTAATGAGGGAGGGACAACGTCTGCTTATCAATATCCAGGTGGTGGGTGGTGGTGGTGGGTGGTGGTGGTGGTGGTGGTGGGTGGGCTGGTGGTGGTGGTGGTGTGGTGGGTGGGTGGTGGTGGTTGGTGGTGGTGGTGGTGATGGTGGTGGGTGGTGGTGGTGGTGGTGGGTGGGGGGTGGTGTGGTGGTAGTGGGTGTGGGTTGGTGGTGTGATGGTGGTGGTGGTGGTTGGTGGTTGTGGTTGGTGGTGGTAGTAGTGGTTGGTGGTAGTAGTGGTGGTTAATGGTGGTGGAGGTGTATTCTTTATCACCTTCGTAATTAGGAATAAATAAACAAAATATTAACTAGAGAAGATAATGCTATACAATTCCTCGCTTGGTTTGGTTAGATTAGGTTAGGTTCGATTAAGGTTAGGTCAGGTTTAGGTTAGGCTAGGTTAAGTTAGGTTAGGCTAAGTTAAATTAGGTTAAGGTTAAGTTAGGTTAAGTTAAATTGGGTTAGGTTAGGCTAAGGTTAAGTTAGGTTAGATTAGGTTAAGTTAGGTTAGATTTTTAGGTTAAATTAGGTTCCTGGAATTCCATGTAGTTTAAAAGAGTCATATGTGTAATGTTGAAAGTCCGTTATATCGAAGGTCCGTTAAATGCGAGAAAAAATCAACAATAACAACTTCACTCACCGACTTAGAGCCGAGGTTTCTGGCCTTGCAGGGGACGTGGGCAGGGGCGCCGACAGCAGCTGTGACGTGCCTGGGGGAGTCGGGGGCGAAGTGTGGGCCCTTGGAGGAGAACACCCCCCAATCTGTCATACCCATGGGCTGAGGCTCCACATTGTTACCGGTGGGATTCGTGCGCATCTTACTATTCACCAGGAGCACATCTGTCCAGGGGGACGCATTACTGTTAGTTTATTATTGCTAGTAACATAAATACAAAGAAACAATAAGATTAACTACTTGTCAAATTAAAGTTATAAACGCGATAAAAATACATAGAGACAAAACAATATTAAAATCAATTAATATCAAAACTCATTTATCGATTTTAGGTTCAGAATTAACCAACTGTTGGAACTGTTGGTAAAAACTGAGGTGGAGTAATTGACAACAAACAGACTCACCAGCGTAGATGAAGACGTCTCCCTCTACCTGTCTCTAGTATCTCTCACCATCTCTCTCTAAGCCTCCAGTATCTCTCACCATCTCTCTCTAAGCCTCCAGCATCTCTCACCAGCTACATGAACCTCCAGTATCTCTCACCATCTCTCTCTAAGCCTCCAGTATCTCTCACCATCTCTCTCTAAGCCTCCAGTATCTCTCACCATCTCTCTCTAAGTTAGAGTTAGGTTAAGTTAGGTTATGTTAAGTTAGAGTTAGGTTAGCGTTAGAGTAGTTAACCTTCAGACGAAACAAGCTGATCCATGTCACAGGTCCTCAGCGAGAGACGTGTCGTGTAGGTGGCCAAGACACGACCTCCCAGTCTTACAACGACCTCTTAACGACTCTCTCTCTTAACAGGTAATAAATGAGCTCTGCCAGGTGTGAGTTAGCTTAATGGAAGACAATTACGGAGTTGTAGAAAACTTACTAATGGATTTTACCTCAAATTTGGATTATATTTTGGTGATCTTTTATTTGTTGTGGTCATTTATTTTATGTAAGTAAACTTTTAATACTTTTTTCTTCGTGTTTAATATTTGTTATAACTCGAGTTTATTTTCACCGTGGAGTACAATTGCTACCATTACTATCACCACTACTACCACACCACCACCATTACCATCACTACCATCACCACCATTCCTACCACCACCGCTACCATCACTCTACAACCCCACCACAACCCCACCACCACCATACCATCACTACCACCATTACCACCACAGCACCCCACCAGAGGCAAGGTTCCACACGAGAAGATAATGAGTTAATCCTCTAATCTGGACAGGTGAGCGAGCGGCTACCTGTAATACCTAATACAGTATTATGTAGTGATATCTGCCGGGTACAGTACATTACCCGCCTCTCTGTTATATCATGGGTAATTACTCCTGCCCCCTGTATCGTGGTGGGCAATAATAACTTTCCCTATATGGTGTTCTGGGCAATCATATCTGGTGATCATCTGATTATGTGACTAATATGTAGCTTTTATCCTACATAAGACCTTGATTTACCTGAAAATTAGATACCCTAGCTTATTTCACCTGTTAATTTATCACCTGAACCTAACTTAACCCCCGCAGGTAGCGTAAATTAAATTAATCATCAGGTAAGGTAAGCTTAGGTTGTCTAATCTTCATGTGATTCAAGAGGTTCAATATATATGTATGATAATTTTACATTCCAGATGGTGTTAAATTTATAATATATTCTGTATTTTCTTTTGTATTGAGTGAGATTTTGAAAGTTGGTCAGATTTGTAAATAATGCCCTCACTTATTTTGAAATTTTTTAACCCGCGTCTCTCTCACTACCAAGCGTTTTTCCATGTAACATTTTCTACGTACACAAAACATAAATTAAACCCCACTTTAACTTACAAATGAATATAAATCCATTAAAAATAAATTATATATATGTTAAATATTATGATAATCAGGATCGTTAATTAATGTATGTAATATTAAGCTCGGCTACCAAAATGTTTTACCGAGCGGCCTTTAAATACAGGATCCCTCCCTCCCTCCCTCCCTCCCCGCTCGTCCCTCCCTCCCTCCCCGCTCGTCCCTCCCTCCCTCCCCGCTCGTCCCTCCCTCCCTCCCCGCTCGTCTAGTCCATTTTCTGTGAGTGATGGTCGTAGCGTTATTGTGCCTTTTCGAATTATCTCTCAAGGACATCATTATGATCCCCTAGAGTGTGAAATAAGTACATAAAGTGATTTTATTGTAGAGAGAGATGATAAAGTGATGACATTTAGTGAAAAATAACAGTTATCAGAAAAATTTAAATGGCCTTCGTCAACGTCACAATTCTCACTCTGGTAAGTTTTAGTTAAAGTGTTTTGGGTTTTTTGGGTGTTGTTTTCGTACCTATAAGTGTATGTATGTATGTATGTATGTAAGTATGTATGTATATATTTATGTATATATTAAACGATTCAATAATATATCAATTTAAATACTGAACGACTCATTAGGCTGCAGAACATTCGACGCTAGATCCTTCCAGAAGAATTATCCAACACATATTAGTATTTCTTTATCAAATTTAAAATAGAATGAGTATGGCTTTTAGTATATTAATATTGTGTATATTTTACAAACTCAAAAATAAATATTGACTCGTGGTCGTAAATTGTTAGACGCCCTTTGATTGGGTGATATTCATTGTCATCAAACGTTACGCTCGTTGACTGGTTGATATTCATTACGTCATCATTACGCCATTCTCGGTGATTGGCTGATATTCACTCTGTCGTCATCGCTCCTCGTTCGTTGATTGACTGATATACATTACGTCATCATTACGCCATTCTCGCTGATTGGCTGATATTCACTCTGTCGTCATCGCTCCTTGTTCGTTGATTGACTGATGTACATTACGTCATCACACGCCATTCTCGCTGATTGGCTGATATTCACTCTGTCGTCATCGCTCCTCGCTCGTTGATTGACTGATGTACATTACGTCATCACACGCCACGTTCGTTGAGTGGCTGATATACTCTGCGTCATGATTACTACCTCTTGACCTTTACTACCATAACAACAACCATGGCTCCTCTAAATAACACCACTATTTCATTTTCATCTCAAAACTGCAGTAATTATTGTCGGTATTGTTGGGTGAGCGTTTTAAATAAGGTTTTTATATTTACTGTAAAATATTGAACATACAATACACTGAATATTTAGTATAGTTTTATAATATTTATTTACAAAATCTCTTTATATTATTTTTTTAATCTCTGACTTTGTTGTTGTTGTGACGTTGGTGTTATATTTGTAGTGAAACCTCGATATAACGGACTTATCTTCATATAATTAGTTAGATAGGGTTCTCATATCCAACGGACCTTCGATATAATGGACTTTCATCTCTATATACAGTTAATACCTCATAGATGGCAGATTTATGGCGGGAAACCAACAAGTGTCGTATTTGGCGGGGAAAAAATATTGTCGTTCGTCTGATTAATTCGTTTCCATCCTTCAGGGGAAAACTGTCTTAACCAGGGACATAATTTTTCCCCGCCTCAGTATCTCTCCATCAAGCTGAAGTGTTCTGCATAAATCAATCACCACCACACACTCTTATACCTACGTCACTATCACCACTACACACTCTTATACCTACGTCACTATCACCACCACACACTCTTATACCTACGTCACTATCACCACCACACACTCTTATACCTACGTCACTATCACCACCACACACTCTCATACCTACGTCACTATCACCACCACACACTCTTATACCTACGTCACTATCACCACCACACACTCTCATACCTACGTCACTATCACCACCACACACTCATACCTACGTCACTATCACCACCACACACTCTTATACCTACGTCACTATGGATGGATCACATGAAGTTTAGCCCCCCCGCTGTTTTTTCTTTTTCATATGATTAACTGCCTGAAGCTACGTTGGGGTTAGGTTAGGTTAGCGTTTGGTTAGGTTAGGTTAGCGTTTGGTTAGGTTAGGTTAGCGTTTGGTTAGGTTTAGTTAGGTTAGTGTTTGGTTAGGTTAGGTTAGCGTTTGGTTAGGTTTAGTTAGGTTAGCGTTTGGTTAGGTTAGGTTAGGTCAGGTTAATACAATCAAATAACAACAAGTTTACCTGTATTAAGCCTCATAATAACATATATTTCAGAGGCTCGCCTTTAGTACACAACACAAGGGCCCGGTGTTTAATCTGGCTTTAGAATTAAAATAGAGAAGACCTTTTATATTACAGGTATATACAGTGTTTTTACCTTTTAAATGTAATTACCGAAGCAAAAATATATGTGCACAGGTGTGAGGTGATCAATGGTTCACCTTTACCCGAGAATGTGTTTAGAATGGTTATTAAATATTGGTCTAAATTAATGTACAGTGATATATAGGGACTGTCGTATGTGTAAAGGTGTTTCTCTTTATTGTGAGTCATTTTGTGACTGTTTGTGGGTGGTGGTGTTGTGTTTGTGTGATGCTTGTGTGATGTTTGTATGGTGTTAGTTGTGTTTGTCATATTTGTGTTGTGATTTTTAGGATGTTTGTGTTATTTTTTTTGTGTCATGTTTGTGGTGTCTGTTTGATGTTTCGTTTTGGGTTTGTCCTGATGTTTGTGTGGTGTTTGTCATGTTTGTATTGTGTTTGTGGTATAACATCACCATCTCAACACATTTCTAGATATATACATCAAGAACTTCACCCCTATACCTACCATCTCTCTCTCTCTCATTATACGTGTACAAACAACAGTACTCAGAGACAACATTCCTCACTCAGCTGATCCTCACTGAGTTTGTTTTTTATCATCAAAGGCGGGAGGACTACAAAGACTGTGTGTGTGTGTGTGTGTGTGTGTGGTAAAGAGACAGGTGGTGTGTGTAGTGGAGGCAGGTGAGTGTGCAGGGAGGCTAGTCATCAAGAGGGGGTAAACTAGGTGAGGTTCCAGGCAGGCTGTGCACCACCGCCTAAGGAGAGAGGAGAAACTTGCACACCACAAGACGTAAATAACGACGCAAGAACCAGGTAGTGTGGGGACCATGCTGAGGTGATGACGTCATTTGTTTACATTCTGATGAGATTAGGGATGATTGATAGCGCCTTGTTTTTTGGGGGGTTGCGATTTTACCTGACTTTAAGCGAATATTGTACCACACACACACACACACACACACACACACACACACACACACACACACACACACACACA